TTTCTGTTTTTTTGTGTTATTATTATATTAATGATAAGAGAACTTAGTTGCTTATTGCTAAACAATGGAGACACATGTCTGGTCATGATCAAAATATATCAGATGATAAGGTTATACCAATAGAACTATAGATATCTGCCAAAGGAGCAGTGAGGCTGCATCTTCTAACCTCCCCTAACCCCACAAAAGGAAGACAGAATCACCCTGAGTAGCCCAAAGCCTATCCCTGCGAAGCCAGACATGCTGCCTCCCTCCAGCCCTTTCACCAACCCTGGCACTAACCATTTCTCCTGCAGCACCTACCACCTCTCTGCTGGGTTTGATAATTTGCTGCAGTGGCCACACAGAAGTCACAGATTATGGTGTTTATTAGGGTAGCAACAGGCTACAATTCAAGTTCAGAAATGCATTCAGTCTCTCGCAGTCAGCTGTCTCTCAGCAGTGTGTGTCTCTTACGTCTCTCTCTCTCTCAGCAAGTGCGTGTCTCTCAGGAGTGCTTTTCTTTCAGCAGCACATCTTTCTCAGACAGCAGTCAGAGAGACTTCTTCTGCCTCTAGGAGGGGTGCTTTTGAGCCTGACAGAGTGGCCAAACTAACCAATCCCAACATCAGAGTTCTATACATACACCTGAGAGAGAGTGAACTTCCCGTAAGATTGCTTCGTGCCACTCCCAACAGAAATACCCCAGGTGGATAATTTTAACAATTAGGAGATATTCAGTTGCTAATGGCAAATTCCACCACGGAGTCCACAAAGACTTATGGCTAGAAGAGCCACACTATGTAATTTACTACACTGCAATGTTCATATGGGATGATTTCTAACTGAAGTGATTATGGACTAACAAATTAGAAAAGGAAAAAAATTAATAATATCCCTTCAGAAATAACATTGGACTCATGGAAAATATGTAGCAGATAAAAATTCAAAGCCCAGAAAGATGGAATCAGCTTAAAGAGAAACGTGAAAGTTTTAGAATTTCAAAAAAAAGTTTAAAGAGTAATTGTGAATGATAAATTCTCAGTTTAGAAACTGAGGAATAGATGGTGATTATGAATTCTTTATCCTGAGAATCTCCGTGGATAGCATGCCAAGAAATGGAAGGAACAGAGTTATGGTGGAAACAATTAAGTGAATTTGAGAAGGATACTTAATGAAGAAATAGGTAGAATTTAGAACATTAAGGAAATAAAAAACATGACAATTTTGCATAGAATTTGGAGGGAGCTCTGGTAGCATAGTGCCTAAGGCACTTGACTGCTGACCAGAAGGCTGGCGGTTCAAACTCATCAGCCACTCCTCAGAAGGAAGATTGGGCAATCTACTTCTGTAGTAGTTTGCCTCAGAAACCCAAGGAGGGGTCGCTATGAGTCAGGTCCGACTCCACGGCACATAACAACAACAACAACAACAGTAATGATAATAAAGTGTAGACTTGAGTCCTAACTATATTTATGGATTATTTTGAGCAAGTTTGTTAACCTTGCTAAGAGTTATTTTTCTCATTTGGAGAGTGGTGATCATGCGTATTTTACAGCATTGCCATTATAAATAAATAATGCATGTAAAGCATTTAGCAAAATTTCTAGACAATGATAACAGTGAAAATAGTGATTAAATTGACCTTGATCTCCTGCTCAATACTAGTCTTCTGATTGTTTCTTGTAGACTGCACTCTGTCCGCACGAGGTTTCTCATTGTTCCAAGTATTCCATGGCTTTTCTTGATTCTAGGCTTCTGTGTATGATTTTTGTTCTATCTAGAATATCGTTATTCATTTGCAGATATTTATTGATACTACTCTGTGTCTTATACTAGGGATAAATTTTTGAAGGCCATTACAGTTGCGTATAGAGTTAATATTGAGTATAATTGATCCAGCTGAGTACAGGGAAACCATTCACCCTTCATGTCTTCCTTGTACTCTCCCTACTAATGAATATAGTAAGGAATAGCAATAAAACGTTCCTTTATTATACCACAGTCACTAAGACTGTGATGCCAAGGAACATTCTTAAATCTATTGCAGAGGAAACAGAAATTACCCAGTGGAATTCTTTTAATAAGGTTGTTGTGGGAAGGCAGTTAATACCTGCCTGTGTTGCCTTTTCCTACTTGTTGATTTCTAATTGAATTCCATTGTGGTCAGAGAAAATATTCGTATAACTTGAATTCTTTTACATTTATTGAGATATGTTTCATGGCCTAGAATATGGTCTATCTTGATAAATGTTAAGTGTATACTTGAAAAGACTGTTTTTTGATGTTGTTGTGTGGAATGTTTTATAAATGTCAATTAGATTAAGTTAGGCAATAGTGTATACATCTTCTATATCTTTTTAAATTTTCTTTCTACTTGTTCTACCAATTTTGAGAGAGGTGTATTGAAATCTCTGACTGTAATTGTAGACTTAGCTATTATTCCTTGTCATTTGATGTGCTGTTTTGCTTCATGTATTTTGAATTGTTGTGTCTCATGGTGAACTGAAAACCCTTTTTCATTGTGAAATGATCTATCCCTTTGCTTCAGAAATATTCTTTATATGAAAGCTACCTTATCTTTTATTCATATATCCACTTTTGATTAGTGTTATCCTGATACATCTTTTTTCATGTACTTACTTTTAATGAGTTTGTGTCTTTATCCTTAAAGTATGTCACTTGTAAGCAGCATATAGTTGGGTCTTATTGTTTTTGATACAATATGGTATTCTCTGCCTTTTAGTTGAGGTTTTTAGACCATTTACGTTTCGTGTGATTATTGATATGGTTAGCTTTAAATTTATCATCTGGCCATTTGTTTTCTATTTGTTCTATTCTCTTTCCTGCTTTCTTTTGTTTTAAATCAATATTTGTTAGGAGTTAATTTTATTTCCTTTGTTTGCTTATTAGCTGTAACTTTTGATTTTGATATTTTAGTGGTTGCTTAGGGTTTGCATTATCTTTTATTTATGACAGTCTACTTTCAGATATTATACCACTTCACATATAAAAGCCATACTTCCATTTCTCTCCCTCCACCCTTTGTTTTATTGTGGTCATACATTTTAATTTTACATATGCTATAAGCTCCATAAGGACCTCTGGTGGCATAGTGCCTAAGGCATTTGACTGCTAGCCAGAAGGTTGGCAGTTCAAACCCACCAGCCACTCCATGGAAGGAAGACTGGGCAATCTATTTCCATAAAGATTTACTGCCTCGGAAACCCAAAGGGGGTTGCTATGAGTTAGAATTGACTCGATGGCAATGAGTTTGGTTCTTTGGTTTATAAACTCCATCTTACATCATTACTCTTTTTATTTTCATGATCAGTTATCTTTTAATGAGATTTAAATGAGAAGAAAACAATTTTATGTATTTACCTTGTAATAAACATTTCTAGCGCTCTTTATTACTTTGTGTAGTTCCATATTTCTGTCTGGTGTCATCTTCATCCCCCTCCCCACGGAAGACTTTCTTTTGCACTTCTTTCAGTGTGGTTTTGCAGGCAGTGAATTCTTTCATCTTTCATATATCTAAAAAATATTTTCATTGGGTTTAGAATTTTATATTCACAGATGTTTTCCTTTTAATGCTTTAAGAGTTTGCTCCACTGTCTTCTCACCTGCTTGTTTCTGATGATAATTATGGTTCATACTTACCTTTGCTCCTCTGCACATAATGTGTCATTTTTTTCTGGCTGCTTTTTTTTTTTTTTAAATGTGATTTGGGTGAGAGGTCACAGAGCAAATTCACTGTCCGTTCAGCAGTTCACATACACTTTGTCTCATGATATTGACTACAATTTACCATAATGCAACAGCTTCCCTCCCACTTCTTCCCCATAGTTACCTCTTCTCTGTGTCCTTCCCTCCATTCTCTGGCTGCTTTTAAGATTTTCTCTTACCATGGGTTTTGAGCAGTTAGATTAAATGTGGTTTTCTTTTTTGTGTGATCTTAGGGTTTATTGAGCTTTTGCCTTTGTGGACTTAATAGTTTTCATAACATTCAGAAAATTTTGGGCCATTATTTCTTCAAATATTTTTTCTGCTCAACCTCTCTCTTCCGTTGGGCACTCTCACTATTCATATACTTAGGCTACTTGAAGTTGGTGTGCAGACCACTGATTCTCTTTTCTTGTTTTTGAAGAATTCTTTTTTCTTTCTGTTTCATTTTGTATCATTTCCACTGTTGTGTTTTTAATCCATTAATCTCCCCCCACCACCACAATATCTAATCTGCTATTAATTCCCACCCAGTGTAATTGGACTGGAAGTTCAGTTCAGGTCTTTATCTACCTATCTACATCTATATATCTTTCATGTCTCTTAACTTTTGAATTCCTTATCAGGAAGTTCCAATGCTGTTTCTTCCTCAGGGATGTGTTGTGGGTCTGTATCCTGCTCCCTTGTTTCTACCACTTTATCTTGCTTGTTTATGTGGACTGTGATATTGTTGTATTTAGATCTCCATTAACTGTTTGTGAAGAGCAGCTGAGGGTGAGTCAGACTTTTTTTGGTGGTGGTTTATTGTAGGCCTCTTGGTGGAGAAGGAGATGGTGACTCTCATTCAGTAAGTGAAGCTGCAGGAGGTGTGGGTGTAGTTGTGTTGTATGGGGACTGTTGCTGTCTCCACTCAGTTAGACAAAAATAACAATTGAATAACCATCAAAGACATAAAAACTAATGGACAAAAAAAAACACACCGTGTAATCACACAGGAACAGTAACCAAAAAAGAAAAAAGAAAAGGGAAAAAGACAAAAACAAAACAAAAAAAAAACACTGCAAAATCTGGAAAGAGGACAATAAGAGAAAAAAGTAGAAAAGGAGAATAATGAAGAAATAAATGAGAAAAGTGCAAAAAGAAAAACAAGAAACAGGGTTACCCACAAGAAAGAAGAAAAAAAAATCAAACTAGAAACAGGGAAAAGAAAAAAAGCTGAAAACTAGAACCTAGGAAGGGAAGAATAAAGAATGATAATAAAAAGGACAAAAGTAATAATAATAATAATAATAGTTTTAAAACAGGCAAAAACAAACAAACTGAAAAAAAGAAAAAAGAAAAAAAAAAAAATTTGGACAGGGTGGGTCAGGGCACCAAGGTTCAGTAGGAGCACATAGAGTGGGGTGAAATTCCTGCCAGCCTAGAAGGTGGGTGGTAGTGAGGGATGGCTGCACCTCCGTTGACCAAGAGGGTGTGAAATATAAAGTAACAAGAGGAATGTTGCACTTTTCCAGTAGTCCATGTGTCCAGGATGTCTTTGCAGTTCCCAGTGAGCGGAGCGTGTTCTTAAGTCCCTGGAACCTGGGAGAATGCAGTTGCTTTAAACATCCAAAATGGTTAAGCCTCTTATAAACATTCAAAATGGCTGCGTCCTCCAGATAGGCAAAAGTCCACAGCTCAGCCTGCCTTCCTCTTCACTGCTTCCCCTTTTATTCCTCAGCCACCAGAGCAGTCCTCCGTGCAGTCCCTGGCTAGCAGGGCTGACTTTTAGGTTAATTCTTAGGTCCTACCACCACTCGGCAATATCCAAGCTGTTTGTCCCATCAGAATTGTTGCCAGACCGCAGCTCTGTATATCTCCTTTTTTGGTATTTTCATGCAAATTATTCTGCTAGTTGGAGTTTAATCCACTTCTATATCCTTCCATTCAAAGCTCAGGGGTCCAGGATTATCTTCTGTGTCTGTGTTAATTGGTTCCCCTTTTCTTTGTTGAAGAGGATCTGTGCAGTCTTTCTGCCTATTCTGCCATCTTACTGGAACTCCTCATGTCTCTTAACTTTTTAAACATAGAGGATAGAGTTATATGAACTGTTTTAATGTCTTTGGTTTCTAATTCTAACATCTGTGTCAGTTTCATTTTGATTTATTTATCTCCTCATTGTGGATCACATTTTTCTGTTTCTTTTTTTTTTTTTTTATTAGATGCCATGCATTGTCATTTTTACCTTGCTGGGTGCTGAATATTTTTGTATTCCTACAACTATTCTTGAGTTTAAATGTGGGGAATGGTTACTTAGAATGCTTGACTCTTGTGGGTTTTGCTTATAAGACTTCATAGGTGGGTCCAGAACTATGCTCCTTGTGGGGCTAATTAATTATTCCTCACTCCTCAGGCTGTACTCAATTCCCTCAGAAATACAAGGTTTTGTGGTTTGACTGGTGGGCATAAGCAGTATGCTGTGTGTGAATGCTGGATACTGTTACCTCCAATCCTTTCTGATAGTTCTTTCTCATGCCTTGGATAGTTTCCTTACATACATGTGCTAATAAGTACTCATCTGAATATTCAAGGGGGCATTCTCCAGATCTCCAGAGTTCTGTCTCTATTCGGGTCTCTCCTCTTTACTAACATTTTCTCATGAGTTCTGCCTTGGTTTTTCTGGACTCTCAGCTCTATCTTCTCAACTCATGGCATCTCCGGGATCCACCTGAGTTTCTCCTCCCACTGCCACTGTCATTAAAACTCTCAAGGCTGGGGCAATCATATGGCTTACCTCATTTGTTTTCTGTCTCTAAGGGATCATTATTGCTTGTTCTCTGGTATTCAATGTCTTGCAAATTGTAGTTTCATATATTTTGTCCATTTTGTTGTTTCCAGTGGGATGGTAAATTCTTTCCTTATTACTCTGTCTTGGCCAGAATTGGAAGTCTTTTCTTTTCTTTTTTAATTTGCTCATAGTAAATTTCTGTATTTTTTGACACTCATTAATTAAGAATGTAGTGGATTTCTCTAAGAGGAGGTCAGAGAGAGTGGTACTTTGCAGCTGGTGAATTGGAAGTATTTAATGGCTGGATATCAGCCTGTGGCTTCAGAAACTTGATTTGCCTGTTCACTCTGAATAGGTCGTTGTCTTAAGTCTGACACACACCAGCCAGAGTTATAGACAGTGGCATATATTGTAAGAATGTTTACATATATCTGGCACAGTCTTTTCACATAGGTAAGATACACTTGAACCAAATGGTAATTGAATGATTTCTTGGTGTTGACCCCTAATTAACGTAGCCAGATGCATGCACCTATATTTCCTGTGCTGTCTGCTTCCTCCAGATTATTCATGCACAGAAACACACACTCTAAGGATATTTGTCTCTCTGATCAGCCCTGTTTGGATTTCGTACTTTCTTCAGTTATTTTAATGTCTTGAATAGATGAATTAATATCTGAAGGCCTGTCTTGATGGCCAGAAATCCATCTGTATCTTTTCTCAAATTAATTTTTTTCTTCATTTATATTTTTAATGTGACTTTGCAGATCTCTTTTTGCAACCATTATTTGTTAAGTACAGCCTCATGCTGAGGGCAATCTCATCTCTTCTTTGTCTAGATTGTTTTTAAAAAAATTTATTGTGATTTGGGTGAAAATTTACAGAGCAAATTCATTTTCCATACAGTGGTTCAAACACATCTTGTCTCATGACATTGACTGCAATTTCCCACAATGCAATAGCTTTCTTCCCACTTCCTCCCCATAGTTACCTCTTCCCCGTGTCCTTCCCTCCCATGCACTCCTGCTCCCTGAGCTGTCTCCCTGTACATACACAGACCTATTATCCCATGATTGATTTTTCCAAGGAGTATATGTACCTAATGTAAGTGTTCAGCTCATATCTGTCTTTTGTTTGGCTGGAAGCCACAGGAGTGAGTTTAATTCCAGACTTGAAGGGCAGCTAGGGGCCATAGTCTCAGGGGTTTCACCAGACTCTATCAGACCACCA